TTGGATGAGTAGCTGGCAAAGATTTTCTCCCATTCTGTGGGTTGTCTCTTGAGTTTGGTGACTGTTTCCTTTGCTGTGCAGAAGCTCTTTAGTTTGATGCAGTCCCATTTGTTCATTGTTTCTCTTAGATAGTGAGCCTTTTGAATTCTGTTTAGGAAATTGTTCTCTATATCTATCTGTTCCAGTGTATTTCTTACTGGTTTCTGGAGTTTTTTCAAAGGCTCAGGCCTTATATCAAGGTCTTTGATCCACCTTGAATTGATTTTGGTACAGGGTGAAAGACAGGGATCTAGTTTCAGTTTTTCTACATGTGGCTATCCAGTTTTTCCAGCTGAAGAGGCTGTCTTTTCTCCATCATGTATTTTGGGCTCTTTTGTCAAAGATCAGATGGCTATAGATGCATGGATTTATGTCTGGATCTTTTATTCTATCCATTGGTCCTCCTGTCTGTTTTTGTGCCAATATCATGCTGTTTTTATTGTTAATGGCTCTGTAGTATTGTTTGAAGTCAGGTATTGTGATGCCTCCAGCATTGGAATTTTTGCTCAGAATTGCCTTGGCTATTTGGTCTTTAGTGTTTCCATATGTAGTTCATGATTGCTTTTTCTATCTCCATGCAGAATGTCGTTGGAATTTTGATAGGGATTGCATTGAACATATAGATTGCTTTTGGTAGTATGACCATTTTCACAATGTTGATTCTACTGATCCATGAGCTTGGAAGTTCTTTCCATCTTCTGATGTCTTCTTTGATTTCTCTCTTCAGTGGTTTACAGTTTTCATTAAAAAGCTCTTTGGTTTCTTTCATTAAATTATTCCAAGGTACTTTATTTTTTTGAGGCTATTGTGAATGGGATTCCCTGATTTCTTTCTCTGTCTGTGCATTATTGTTATATAGAAAAGCTACTGATTCCTGTATGCTAATTTTGTATCCTGCTGCTTTGCTGAAAGCATTTATGGTTTCTAGTAGTTTTTGGGGTCTCTTAGGCATAGAATCATGTCATCTGCAAAGGGATAGTTTGACTTCTTCCTTCCTTATTTGACTCTCTTTTATTTCTTGCTCTTGTTTTATTGCTCTGCCTAGGAACTCTAAAATTATATTGAAGAGGAATGGAGAAAGCAGATAGCTCTGCCTTGTTCCTGACTTTAAGAGGAACAGTTTCAGTTTTCTCCATTTAGTATGATGTTGGCTCCAGATTTGTCATACATAGCCTTTATTATGGTGAGGAATGTTCCTTCTATTCCTAGTTTCTTCAGAGCTTTTATCACAAAAGGGTGTTGGATTTTGTCAAAGGCTTTTTCTGCAGGTATTGAGAGGATCATGTGGTTTTTGTCCTTGCATCTGTTTGGTACTATATTATGTTTATAGATTTATGTATATTGAACCATCCTTGCATCCTTGGAATGAAACCAACTTGGTCATGGTGTAAGATCTTTTTGACATGTTGTTGAATTCTGTTTGTCAGTACTTTGTTAAGAATCTTTGCATCTGTATTCATTGAAGATATTGGTCTGTAATTCTCTTTTCTGGTTGTGTTTCTATTGGGTTTCAGAATGAGTGTAATGCTGGCTTCATAGAATGAGTTTGGTAGTGTTCCTTACCTTTCCATTTCCTGGAGATGTTTTTGAGGAGTCTTGGTATTAGTTCTTCTTTAAAGGTTTGGTAAATTTCAGCTGTGAATCCATCAGATCCTGAGCTCTTCTTTATAGGGAGACTCTTTATTACTGCTTCAATTTCATTGCATGTAATAGGACTATTTAAGTGTTTAATGTCTCTTGGTTCAATTTTGCTTAGTTATATGCATCTATGAATTTATCCATTTCATCTAGATTTTCCAGTTTACTTGAATATAAGTTTTCAAAGCAGTCTCTAATGATTCTCTGGATTCCATTGGTATTTGTGGTTATGTCCCCTTTTTCATCTCTGCTTTTATTAATTTAGGTCTTCTCCCTCCTCCATTTTGTTATGTTGGCTAAGAGTTTGTTGATCTTGTTAATCTTTTCAAAGGACAAACTTTTTGTTTCACTGATTATTTGTATAGTTTGTTTGGTTTTGATCTCATTTATCTCTGCCCTGATCTTTAGTATTTCTCTCTGTCTGCTGGTTTTGGGTTTGGTTTGTTCTTGTTTCTCTATGAGCTTCTGGTGCATCATTATATTGTTTATTTGAGAGGTCCCTGTTGTTTTTTAATGTAGAACTTATAGCTAAAAATTTTCCCCTTTAGCATGGCATTTGCTGTGTCCCACAGATTCTGGTAGGTTGTATTTTCATTTTCATTGAATTCCAGGAACTTTTTGATTGCTTCCTGTATTACTTTGGTCACTCATTGGTTTTTCAGCAGTGTGTCGTTCAGTCTCTTGCTTGAATATTTTCTGGGGTTTCTTTTGTTGTTGAAGTCAGTTTTATTCCATTATAGTCTTCTATGATGCAGGGGGTTATTTTGATTTTCTTGAATTTGTCAAGACTTGCTTTGTGTCTTAGAATACCTACTTTGGAGAAAGTTCCATGAGTTTCAGAAAAGAATGTGTATTGCCTAGTTGTTGGGTAAAATACTCTGTAGATAACAACTATGTCTATTTGGTCTAATGTGTGGAGTAGCTCTGAAGTTTCTTTGTTGATCTTTTGCCTAGATGACCTATCTATTGGTGACAGTGGAGGAGTCAGTTCTCCCCCTATCACTGTGTTAGTGTCTATCAGTCCTTTTCAGGCCATTACAGTTTTTTTTTTTCCAATGTAGATGGATGCTCCTGTGTTTGGTGCATATATGTTAAGGATTGATATTTCCTCTTGATTAATTTTTCCTTTCATTAATATGAAGTGACCTTTATTGTGTCTTCTGATTGGTTTTAGTTTGAAGTCTATTTTGTCAGATGTTAGTATAGCTACTCCTGCCTATTTATGGGGTCCACTCGCTTTGAAAATTTTTTTCCACCCTTTGACTCTAAGCCACTGTTTATTGTTTTCAGTGAGATGAGTCTCTTGTAAGCAACATATGGTTGGGTCTTGTTTCTTGCTATTCTATGTCTTTTGATTGGGGCATGGAGGACTTTTACACTCAGTGTTAATATTGAGAAGTGCCTGTTGTTTCCAGTAATTTTTATTCTCCTGTTGTTTAGTTTTTTCTATTCCTTGTTTATTTGTCTGCTTGCTCAAAAGGGTTTATTCTTTCTTGAGTCTTCCTGTCTCACTCTAGTTTCTTCTTCTATATGTAAAAGTCCTTTAAGTATCTTCTGTAGTGCTGGCTTGGTGGTTGCAAATTCCTTTAGTTTTTCCTTGTTGTGGAAGGTTTTAATTTCTCTTTCAATTAGGAAGGATAGTTTTGTTGTATAGACTAGTGTAGGTTGACAGTTGTTTTCTTTCAGGGCCTGAATTATGTCTCTCCATGACCTTGTGTTTAGAGTTGGAGTAGAGAAATAGGCTGTTATTCTAATGGGTTTGCCTTTATATGTGACTTGTCTCTTTTCTTTTGCAGCTTTCAGAATTCTTTCTTGTTCTATGTGCTGAGTGTTTCGATTATAATTCGTCTGGGGGTGTTTCTTTTTTTGGTCCTGATGGTTTAGTGTTTTGTAAGCTTCCTGCACCTGACTGACTGTCTGTTTCTCAAGGTTAGGAAAGTTTTCTGCTCTTACTCAATTGAATAGGTTGTCAGTGCTTTTAATTTGTATCCCTCTTCTATACCCATGATTCGTAGGTTTGGTCTTTTCATGGTGCCCCATATATTTTGCATGTTCTGTTTGTATTTTTTTAACATTCTTTCATGAACTTTTACCTTTTGGTCTAATTCCTCTACATTGTCTTCCATTCCTGATACTCTATGTTCAACTTGCTCCACTCTGTTCACCAAGCTTTTGATTGCAATATTTATTTGGGATATTGAGTTGTTTATTTTGGATTATTTTTCAGGGTTTCTATATCTTTATTGATTTCCTCTTTCATATCTATGGTAGTCTTAATTTCATTCATCTGTTTGTTTGTATTCTCTTTGAACTCATTAATTGTTTATTCATGTTCTCTTTGAGGTCAAATAATAAATTTTGTGTTTCTTCTTTGAAGTCATTAATCATTTTCACAATTTTTTCTTTTTTGAAATTCAGTATTTGATAGCTTTTCCTTTATGCAGGTGTTTGGATCCTTAGTGGTAGAATTGGCTTTTGAGGGAGAGTGGTTGTCTTGCTGTTTCATTCTGCATTGAGATTTATGCATCTGGAGTTGTTTCTGGTTAGGGCTTTAATCCCTTATGTCCCTGTAGTTGTGGTTTTGAGGCTTTTTTCTCCTGGTGCTCCAGCAGTGTTCCTCAGAGAGGGGTATGCTTAATATGTTACTGCTTGCAGGTTCTTGTAGTGGTGCCGATTACCTCTTTTCTCCCCTCACTGAGGGGGCTGGATTTCCTGCTCTTTGATAGGGGTGCAGGGGCTCTCCTGCAGTTGCAGTGCAGAGAGTTGGGTCTCTGTGCACTGTGGGGTACAGATCTCCTAGCACCAGCAGACTAGTGGATTGCCACTCAGTGGAGGAGCTGGGATTCCTGCTCCTGGACAGGAGAGATGTAATTCCTCTGCAAGGAGGTGCAACATGAAGCTCTGGGCTTCTGTGTACCTTGGGGGAACATGGCTCCTGGTGCCTCCTGCAGAGTGGCAGGCTATAGCTTTCCTCCCTTCAGTGGGGAATCTGGCATTCTTGCTCTTTGGTGGGGGAGTGAGGTCTCTCTTGCTGTCAGGGACAGTGGGGAGTGCGGGGCCTCTATGATCTGTTGGGAGGGAAGCCTCCTGGTCCCAAAAAATACCAAGCCAGGAGCCTGAGATTCACTTGGGTGTGTAGGAGCAGGCTCCTGGCACTGAGTAGCAAGTTGAGGGTACCTGTGGGGCAGCAGAGCCAGTGGGCTTGAATCATCTGGTGCCCACAAAGCAGTGGGGGCCCTAGGGTGTACTTACATTGAGGCATAGGCTTCCAGGAGCTACAGCAGCTGCTGCAGACACAGGATACTCAAGTCTGAGTATAAAACCTAAGGCTTGCTTGCTGTCACTGGGCTACCCAGAGCCATGGCAACGGCTGGATGCACAGGAGAACCAAGCGCTTTGGACAGCAGGAATTCTGGAGCCAGTTTTCCAGGCATGGACTCCAGGAGGGTAGTGCAGTAGTGCTGTAAGCATGGGGGACCAAGCTGTCGGGTAGTGAGAGCCCTGGGACTTGATTTCCTGAACAGGCTTCCAGGAGCACAGTTCAGTTGTTCTGCTGCTCGCTCAGTTCAGGAAAACTAAGTCTGCCAGCTGCAGGGGTTCCTAGCCTGTTCTCGCCATAGGCTTTGGGGAGCACTGTTTTGTGGCTCTGCTGCAGGCTTGGCTCAGAGGAACCAAGCCTGCAAGCAGCAGGATCCCTGGGCCTGATTACCTGCTAGCACTTGGAGTGCAGTTCAATGGCTCTATTGCCAGCTCAGGAGAACTAAGCTTGTGAGCAGTGGGAGTTCCCAGGCCCTATTTCCCTCATGGGTTTCAGGGAGCTCAGTTTTGTGGTGTTGCTTCTGGAGGAACTGAGCCTGCTGCCTGGTGCCTTCTATGACCCATGGAGCAGCAGGAGCTGAGGGTCCTGCTTGCACAGGGGCACTGGTTTCCCTGGAGTTTCAGAGTGAAAGTAGTAGATGATGTGGTAGGAGGGAGCGTGGAGCTCTGAGTTCTATGTGTGCTGGGAAGTAGGACTTACCGCCAAGGGAGCACCAAGTGATGGAGCCTGGAGCCACGGTGACTTCAGGGGTGGAGGAGCTGCAGTATAGAACCATGATTCATTCTTCCCATTCCTCCCATGGTTAGTTGCTTCTCTACTGGCAGATTTGGAGAGGGCTTTGCTTCTTGCTGCTCATGGGACCCCATGGGTGACTTTTGGGAAAAGTCTGATCTTCCTTTCCCACTAGGCTATAGGGATGTCAATCATCCGCCATCTTGCCCTTGGTTCTAAATCATCTTTTCAATGTCTCCCAGTGAAGAATTTCTTCACTAAGTGAGAAGTCATTTCCATTTCTGCATAAAATTGCCCTGGAAAGCACATTTTACACTTTGTTGTTTCTATGTATGTCTCCTCCACTAGATCATTAGCTGCTGGAGGTCAAATCTCATATCCATCACCCAGGACAGTGCCTGTACACACATTGTAAATAATCAATGAGCTGTACCCTGAAGGAAACGGACTTATTTAATCAGTAAGGCTAAGACGACTTGATATCATTATTCTAAAAAGAAAGAGACAAAGCATGAAAAGCTAAACTCCTATATGAACCACCTTCAGCCCTGTCGCAACCTCACTCCCAGCATATATATTCACACATAATACGATTGTGAGAAAATTGACACTGAAACATGAGAAATGAGGTTTCCTGCACAATTCTCTAGTATTACTGATGAATAGACTGGCCCCCTGTAGCTACTCATCTCAGGTTGAAGGTACCTGTACACATACACATGCCTGGGAATGTGTCAAGAACTCTTCTGATCTTAATGAAGTGGATTTCTCATGAAACCTGGCTTTGTACCCCATGCAGATTAAAGGGCTTTCATGAGAGTAAAACACCTGCATTCAGTCCCCTCTCTATTAATTCAGCACAGAAGGTTGGCTTTTCTCCAAGCTGTTGTGGGGTTGTGGGGTTTGGTGATATCATTGAGCTGGGTACTATGGAATCCCATGCAAAGGCCTTATTAAAAGGCATCAAACAGGCTAACAGATGCTGACTGGATCCACACAGCAATATATGTGTGGTGGGGAGGCTCACAGACACTGACCTCTGAAATTGTTTCATGCACAATGATTTCAGTTCAGGCTATGTTTGATCTTTCAGATTCTTATTCTCTTCATGGCTGAAAGGTGTTCCATATTCATCTGATGTGATAATATGCATAATCCTCCAAAGCAGAAAGTTTCTGAAGCCTGTAGCTTATGCTACATTCAGTGGAGATAGTGAGAGTTCAACAGTGAACAGAGATGTTGGGAAAATCCTTTGAGGAGATAGCGAAAACCAAAGCCTTTCAGGTGATCTTAAGAGGATGTTTTATGTGTTCTCAATTCAGAGATGGAAATTACTTCAGAGAACATAAAAGGGAGTCACTTGCCCCTGGGACTTGCTACAGAACACCTTTAAAGGTACACAGGTATAAGTGAGTCTATTCATTAAAGTCACTCAAGAAAGGAGATTCCATTATCAACATTAATCAATTGCAGTTCTTAATAACTTTCTTTACTAGAAAGACCTTTCTTACATTGCAACATTTTTCATATTGCAATTTCTCTGCAGTTATTTTTTTTCACAGTAAGATTAAGAACACATTCATCACCCTCTTATCTCATAACAAATATATGAAGGCTTTCCAAGTCACACTAGGCATTGTTTCAGTTCTCTTCTCACTTCCAGTGCACTCATCATCCTTATTATTGTCACAACCCCTGCCAAACTCCCCAAAGCCACAAATACAAACTTTTGGAGAACATCATTTATAAGCACTCAGAAGCAAGAGTAATGATGTGGTAACTACTTGGTCCTGGGTGTTATATAGGGTAAATGTTTTTCCAAATTGGATTTACATTAAGAAACCCAAATTTTAGAACAAGAGGGCAGAACAGGCTCTGCCTATAAGTGAGGGTGGGGGTTTGGAGGTTGGGGGGCACGGGGAAGAGGTAGCCCAAACAATGTATACACATATGAATAAATATTTAAAAAGTTTTAAAAAAAGAAAAAGGCTAACAACAGATCTCTGGGAAAGAGCTACACTTTGAGGCATCAGGAGGAAGAGTACATTTGGACTTGATAGCATGAGTTTACTGTGTTATTCAATTCTCCTTTGTTTTATTTGTATTCAGTACTTAGCACAAAATTTGGTACATTGTAGGTGCTCAATATTTAGGTTAAATAAATAAAAAAGGTGTATTAAGAAAAAAAAAAAAAAAAAAAGAAACCAAAATTTATTTAAATAGCTATCATGTGACAGGCTTGGCTCTGATTTGTGTAACCTGTGATGTGTATTTCCTCTAGCTCAATCTGCCAGACTAAAACTAATTCCCTTTTCAGCAGTGGAGGAGCCAAGTGCAGACTTTTTGGGGCTTCAGTCCCCAAAGATGCTAGAGGAAGGGTGCAGATGTAGGCAGTAATACCTATAGGTATTACTTCAGCAGGTGAAGTCTTTCCTGTGTGTTTATTATATCAGCAACTGTTTTACATGATATCCTTTGTCACCATGGAATTATAGGTTGTCAGGTTGCACAGAAAGGACAGCAAGACCATCTGTGCAGGTCTACCCATCAGACCAGGTGAAAGTTTATCACACAGGAGTGAGCCAGCTCCACAACTTATTTATTTTAGGACCCAGAGAAAGCTGCCTAACTTTTATGGGCCTCTATTTCCTTATGTATAAGGTGGGAATACTAATTAGTATATGCTATATACTAATTTTCATAAGGGTGAAGTGAGATACTACAGGCAAAGTGCTTAACATGTGACAGCATTTATCTATTTGCTCTTTAGAATTTTCTAGCAGTGCAGCCACTGCTTCTGTTTCCTTGTTTTCTAGCATTTGCTCAATCAGGTGACCAAGATTTCTCCTTATCCTCAACCGAAATTGATCCAGTTTGAGGTGGGACTTTTTTGGTGGTGGTGATGACTTTTCCCCTGTCCCTTAGGGACTTAGAAAACTTGTTCTGAACTTCTTAGTCAAATATTTGAGTGTAGGGAACAATAACATGCAACTGCTCATGTGAGCTGCATTTCCTTTGATCATTCCTTGCATTCGTCCATCCTTCCCTCCATGAGTCTGTGTTATAGATGATAGACATCTCAGAGATGTTGAGGACGGCACCCAGAACCACACATGCAGAGCTTGAATCCTAACCCATTGTGGAAAGGAGACCCCTTCTACTATACAATGCTGCCCCAAGACAAAAACTCAGTCTTCATTTCTGAAGAATGAATAATCGTATTTTTTTCAGATGCAACTGATACGAAACAACCAACTACTAATAAGGAAAATAAGATGTATGATTTATGTCTAAAATGACATAACATATCATTTTAGAAATATAAACCATGTTACCTAATTCAAATCCTTTCTAGAATGAGTAATAATAGTGATGATGTTGGGTTACATGTGAAAAGTAAGTTTTAGATATGAGTGGAATATTAAACCAATGATTAGTAGTAGGTTCAAATTACTTCAGGTTTGGTTAGTTTTGGCCAGGTTAGAAGGATTAATATTTTCTAAACCATCACACCTTTACTTACAGGTTTAACAGGCTTTAACTCAACATGATCCTGGTAGTAGGAGTGTGTATCAAGTCCACCTATGAAATCAACTGAAAATATAACAGCCCACATTGAATAAGTGTGTAAATAAAAATAATCAGAATACTAAATGTTAAAGTAAAATACATATGCATAAGATTAACAAGAATATCGTTTATCCCAAAATGGAAAAATGTGTATATAGTATAATGGCTACTAAAAATATTATTCATCATCCAAAAAATGAGGAAATTTTAAGAATCATACAAATAATCTGGAGTCTTAGGATCTGAAAAATTACAGCTGTCATTGGTTTCAGTAAAATGAGATTTGTGTGTATATGTGGCTGTGCCCCCTTCCCTACATATCAAGAAGTATACTTTCTCTTCTTCTTACCAGAATCCATTTTCTTCTTAAGACTCAGTAGAAAGCTTTTTAAGAAGTCATACAATCTATTTCCATAACTCTGTATTCAAGCCACCTGTGCCTAAAAAAATAGGCACATATCTTTTGCAAAAATTTCACGTTCTCCTGGACAGCGTGGAACTTGTCTTGCAGTTTTTATTGACTAGTCTTTGTAATTGTGTTTCTGATTTCTTTTTGTTCTGATAATCCTCAATCTTTTTTCCTCACTTCTTGTTTCTCTTATTCTATAGTCCACTAAAACTGTTACTTACTTTAAACAGAGCTTTGATTGTACAATCACGCCTTAATATTAACAGTTACACAGGAATATGGAGACATGGAACTCTCAAGGGTGTGTGTGCATGCTAAAGCCTCAGTGTATAGATACTGTATCCTTTGTCAGTTCAAGCAGGCATCTCAGGGAAATAAAAGTTAGAGAGAGATGAACTGGCCTAGAAGTTTTGTTGAATTCTTAACTACCTGCAGCTACCCTGGCCAGACCTTGATCCCTTCCCTCCTTTTACTTTCTGTGGAAGAGTTAAAGTAAGCCTGGGAAAATCAAATTTCATCAACCCACTGAGCAGACGTGAACTTTGGGGGTCTATGGGGCCCAGAGACCAAGTGGCAAGAGACATCTCCAGCCACCCCCAGGAGAACCGAGTTGCCTGAAACCTGTTCTTTTTCTACTAGGTGACGTGAAGGATCTGTTCACCACCTTAAGGAGAGAAGCAGTGAGAAGGTAATGCACGTGAGACATGGACATTGCATAGTGACCAATAAGACCAGGTCAGTTCAGACTGTGTTTTTGTTAGATTAGATACATTCAATTGAATATTTCTAACCTTTGATCAGTGGACAGAATTTCAGAAGGATGATCACACTGATTGAAGTTAAATGATCAGTTAATCTGCAGAGCACTTTTGGAAGTTAAAGAGAGTATTAAAACATAAATATTGCATATATTGAGTTGTGAATAAAATGGTTCAGTTTGAAAACTATATTCAAAATAAAATTATTTCTAAAATTAAAGACAACATCTACCCATATGTGTCAAAGGAAAAACCCACCTCTGTAGCTTCATGGCAGTTAGAGATGGGGTGATTATGGTTCCAGCCAGCCCAGACAAAACAGTTAGTGAGACCCCATCCCAACAAAACAAGCTAGGCTTGGTGGTACATGTTGGAATCCTAGCTAGGTGGCTGAGGTGGGAGGATAGTGATCTGAGGTCAGCTGGGGAAAAAACACGAGACTCTATCTCAAAAATAAACTAAAACAAAAAGGACTAGGGTGTGTGGCTCAAGTGGTAGAGTACAAGTGAGAGTCTCTGAGTTCAAACCCCAGTACCACCAAAAAAAAAAACTCTGTATTGATCATTTGTACATTAAAATGTAATGTTAACAGGATCATTAAGTACATGTACTTTAACCTGTTTATTAATCACCTTACTTTCTAATACATCATATCATTTTGAGAAGAATATATATAGTCAATATTATTATTTTAATAAGTTTATTTATAGCCTTCTTCAAAGCATATTTAAGTGACTATTAAATTTGAAACTATTGATACCCTAAGTCAATCTGTGAATACTATAGTGTTTTTAATTGAAGAGTCTCCTTGTTAGTGTGGTTAAACCCTATGCACATTTGTTAAACAGGGATAAATGTATTTTAGCTTAAACGTTTTCCCAAGTACCGTCATTTTACTTCCCTATAACTTTCTTTGGCAAAAAGTTTACAAGGCAAAAAACCTGAGTTGTATCTACTTGTGCTTGTTTTCATCAAATGCTAATCCTGCAAAGGCTGCCTCAGATCAACTTCTTTTCATTCTGATGCAGGATATAATTTTCTCCGATTAAAAATGTGAGCTCCACCCAAAGAGACTTGTACCATGACCAGATACTGCAAACAGGAAATTATAAAAATGAAAAGTCAAATCTTGTCTAACACTTGAGTTCTTACTATGTAAATGACCCTCTTTTACTTTTGTGAGGAGAAAACCCAATGTTTTCCTTTTGTATGCTTTCAGTTATTACAGCTTACTAAATATTTAATCTAATTCTTAAGGGTGCCTTTTTGAATAATCTGTGTAAGTTTTTCAATTCATTTTGAATGGAATGCAACTAAAATGTAGAAGATTCATTTATGAAAATACTCACAATTATTGTAGGAAACAGATTAGTTTACAAGATAAATCTTCACAGCCTGATAGATGAAGCAATGGAAGGAGAGAAAATGTATTTTTCCAAGCTAAAGTTCTTTCTTTGTTTTCAACATCACCTTTATCTTAAAAATATTCTAGCTTATTTACTCTTCACATGAGTGTATACATATGTATACACAGTTGAAAACTAGTGTCTATTTTCATTAGCAAAATATTACAGCTTTGTTGCTATGCAACATGGATTACCTATGCACCTGAATTCCAAATACATTTCTGCTTCATCAGTTTCTTAGAAAGAATACTGTTTTTGTTTTTTTACCCTTGTATTGTACTCTACCAAAATTTGTACTTCCCTAATATACTTTGTCTTTATTGTTTATTTTTTTAAGTATTTTTATTAGCATGTATTAGTGTGTGTGAGTGAGAGTTCATTGTGACATTTTCATATGTGCTTACAATGTATCTTAATTAGATTCACCCCTTCATCATTCTTCCACATCCCCCCTTTGCCACTTCTTAAAAGGAGTTCAACAGGCTTCATTGTTCATACTCGCATGCAAAGTATATCAACTATGTTTGCCTTCCTTCAACCTCTCCATTTACCCTACCCCCCTCCCACCAGTACCCAATTCTGGACAGGATCTATCCTTCATTCTTTCTTTCTTTATTTTTGCAGTACTGAACTCGGCCTCACACTTGTTAGGCACATGCTCTACCACTTGAGCTACTCTGCCAGCCCATTTTTGTGTTGGGAATTTTTGAAATAGTGTGTCACTTTTTACCCAGACTGCCTTGGAATCATGATCCTCCTTATGTCTGCCTCTGAGTAATTAGGATGACAGGTGTGAGCCACACTGGTGCCCAGACCCTTCATCTCTCAAAGTATATATTGATTGCTGAATGGAGTTTTGCCATGATATTTCACAAATTTATGTATTGTATTTTAATCAGATTAACTCCCTCTATTATTTACTCTTTCTCTATTGCTCTGCTCCCCTATTATTCAACAGCTTTTCAGTGCATTTCATTATGCTAGCTTCATATGCAATGCATTTCAATATTGTTCACTCTCTATCATTTTTTTCCTATTCTGCCTCTTCCTGGTTCTTCAGACAGACCCACTACTACAATCATGTTCTCTCTCTCTTTGTATGTAAGTGTATATATACATATGCATAAGATCATATGTGTATTTATGTATACATTTATCATTTAAGTCTAGCTTTCGTATATGAGGGAAAACATGTGACCTTTGTCCTTCTGAGTCTGGGCTACTTTGATTAACATGATATATGCAGTTCCATCCATTTACTTGCAGACAACATAATTTCATTTTTCTTTATGGCCTAATAATGCTATTGTGTATATATACCACATTATCTTAATCCATCCATCAGTTATAGGGCATCTGGTCTGTTAACGAAGCTTGGCTATTGTGAATAGTACTGCAATTAGCATGGGTGTGCAAATGGCACTATTGTATCCTGGCTTACATTCCTTTGTGTATCTGCTCAGGAGGGGTATTGCTGGATCACACATTACGTCTATTTTTGGTTTTTTGAGGAAATGCCATACTGCTTTCCATAATGGTTGCATAAATTTTCATTCCCACCAACAGTTGATAAGGGTTGCTTTTTTTACCTGCATCTTCACCAGTTTGTTGTTGTTTATATTATTGATCATCATCTATGATCATCTACGATCAATCTATGTCATTTTGATTTTCATTTTTCTTTATGGACAAGGATGTTGAGCATTTCTTCATGTATTAAGTGGCCATTTGTACTTCTTTTGAGAATTATCTGTGCAGTTCATTAGCCCATTTGTTCATTGGGTTGTTTATTCTTTGCAGTTTTAGTTTTTTGAGCTCCCTATAGATTCTGCCTATTAATCCCTTGTCAGATGTATAACTGGCAAAGATTTTCTCCCATTCTGTAAGCTGTCTCTTTAGTCTGTAACTATTTTCTTTGTTGTGCAGAAGCTTTTTAGTTTGATATAGTCCCATTTGTCAATTTTTTCTCTATTTGCTGAGCTATTGGAGGTCAATTCAGGAAGTTATTTCCTATGCCCATATGTTCCAGTGTTTTCCCTATTCTTTTGTAGAAGTTTCACAGTTTTAGATGATATATTAAGGCCACTGATCTACTTTGAATTGACACTAGTACAAGGTGAGAGACTGGGATCTAGTTTCAGTCTTCTGGATAGAGATATCTAGTTATCCCAGAACCATTTGTTGAAGAGGCTGTCTTTTCTCCAAAGCATATTTTGGGCCCCTTAGTCAAAAATCAAATAGCTATAGCTGTGTGGATTTTTCTCTGAGTCTTCTACTCTGTTCCACTTTTCTTCAGGTCTGTTTTTATACTAGTACCATTCTGTTTTTATTACTATGGCTCTGTAGTATAGTTTGAAGTCAGATATTGTGATACCTCTACTATTGTTCTTTTTGCTTACAATTGCTTCACATGTTTGAGGTCCTTTGTGCTTCCATATGAACTTTAGGATT